AAAATAAATGGATAATCTTTTCAAATAATAATATAAATTAAATAAATTCAAATCTTATCTTATAATTTTATAAATTTATAAATCACAATAATATCTTAAAATGTAAATTAGTTTTTATATAAAATACCTTAATTTTAATTGAAAAAAAACATTTTTTATTTCAATTAATTTCAATAATTTGCATTATTTATTTTGTAAATCATTAGTAATAGATTTTATTTGTAACTAATTAACTTTAATATATTTTGTTTTAACTCCTAACACAAGAATATAAATATAATTAAAACCATATACTGTACATACAGTATATACAGTATATTTGTATTATATTAATACAAATAAACATAAGCACACACACGACTGCACACAAATGAGAGTTTTTATAAAAAGAAAGGATGCTTTTTATATAATAAATATAAATTTTTTTTTATTATTTTGATGTTGAAATTAAATTTTTGTTTATATATACTAAACTAAAAAGCGAAATTCAAAACTGGAATATTTTCCACTATAGGCATAATTTGAAGACAAAATAAACATTAAAATAATAGGTTTTCATGAATTTTGACTGTTTTTATGGCATTTGTATTATACAATTCCGTCAATTATATAATGAATATTCAATCTTAAGAAAACAACAAAGTTTTTAGTGATACACCAATTACTATATTTTGTGTGTTTGAGTGCAAATGTGTTTTTATATAATTAATATACAGTATTTTTGTTTATTAGACATATCTCTGTTTAGAGTGTGAGTTATATAAATGAAATAAAAATAACAGATTTTCAATACATAATATATACAGTATATATATATATATATATATATTTATATTGTTGATATAAGTATAAACTGTACTATTATATGATATACTGTACTCTTCTCTATCCCTTTCACACAATGATATCAATCGTGAAGTTTACTTTATGAGTGCTAAGACAAATGCAGACAACAATTGCACACAAATATCTCAACATAACATTAAATAAAAGGGAAAATGAGAAATATTTTTATCTAAAAATATATAAAAATAATAATATATATAAACCTATAAAATGTACACAAAAAATATTCTATTATTTAAAATAATATAGCGTTAAAGCATAGAAAAGAAAATTTAATATTATTATTTATAATGCTATTCTCTATAGTATATAATATATATAAATATATACTTACAAAATAAATATCAAAATAAAACTTCAAAATTAAGTCTTAGTTTATTTATTTTTTTGCTGTTTATAAAGTTGAGTCTTAGTCAACAATATAATGATTGGAGTCTACAAATGTTTCAATACAATCAGTATATTTGTGACTCCAATAAACAATTTTAAAACACAAATACTATATATTATATTTTCTTATATAACATATAAAATTTTGTTGAATTCAATTTACATTATCTTTTAGAACATTTAATAACACTGTTAGATAAATGTTTAAAAATTATAATGTTTTAAAAATAAATTACATAATTTACGACATCATATGTATATAAGTGTTGTATGAAATATATATTAGAGTACAATACATAGTTAAAAACATATTCAACATTTTTTGCTCACATTTTTGCAGTGATATAAATACAAATTAAATACTCAAAATTACGATTAAAGTTTTTAAAAAATTATTATTTATTTATAACTACTTTTATTATATTTAGTGGTATTGTTTTTATTTAATTTATTTACATTATTAAATCTATGTAATAATATATATGTATATTGATAATAATAAAGTTTGTTATCATTAAATGTAATATCAATATAAATAATTTAATTTATTAATAGTAAATAAAAATAAAAAAATGACCATAAAACACATAATAAAAAATAAATTGTAAATAATATGATATATTTTATTATAGACTGTATGCCAATGCATTAGAAAACAATCAATATTTTGAATTAATAAATAAACATTTGATAGATTGTTGTGGTCAACAATTTATATGAATTGAAAGATATTAGGAAAAAACTATTTAAATGCATTCATATGTTATATATTTATAAGTCATATATTATATTGAAATTAATGAATGATATGAATGGCAGACTATAAAAGATATGAGCGTTGGATGAGTTGCAACAAAAGCCGCATTTATTTAGTTGTGAATCCTTAGAGTTTTGACGATAATTGCATCGAATAAGAGAAATGAAGAATTCCTAACACAAATGCTTTCATATTCTTTGCCATACATTCTCTCGATATATATATTTGTTTATGTTTTCGATATACTTACGTATAAACCATATAAATATATATATATTATATATACCAGTGCTGTACCGTATATTCCCTATAATATGGAAAAACAAAATTTATGTCACTTTCACCAAAGGTTTCTATTTTGTGTGACAATCAATAAAAATAAAATCAAATAAAAAAAAGTAGAAAATGTTTTGACAAAAGAGCTGAAGTCGAGTCTGAAAATGTTGTGAATGTGTTGTATAGGAATTAAATTACTTTTAAAACAAATTTCTCATTCAATTACATTACATAAATGTGAGATATTTTTTATACACTTCTATTACATCATTATTATTTGTCTCATTATATTAGTTTTTGAATTAATTCTATTAATATTTAAAAATAATTAAAATAACTTGATGAATTAAAATAATTTGATTAATATAACTATAATAATTATAACAAATTTAAAATTAATAAATATTATTAATAAAAAAATATCTGTTAATTTTCTTTTGTATTTAATTAATTATTAAAATATTTTGAAACAAAAATATATTTTAATTTAATTCAAAACTACAAAAAAATAATTTTCTTATAAAAATGTTTGAAAGTTTTAAATTTGATAATCATTTTAAGTAAAAATAGGCACTATTTTGTAAAAAGATGTCATTAATTGTGAGTCTTGTTTTTGAAACGCAAAACAAATGTATTATTTGAGTCGTGATTTTGGTCTAAAAAGCCGAGAGTTTGGTCTCAAATACCAATAGATTCTGCGCTTCAAATGTTACCAAAAAATATATTACTTTCTGAGAGAAGATATACTGACAACAATTACAATGAATGTTACCATAAATTGTAAGAAGAATTCTATGGCAAACAGTTCCCAAAGTTCTTGTAACACAAGTTATCATTGATTTTGGTTTCATTTTATAGCTTATATTCATCCGATTTGGTGTGAAAAGTGCGTTAACGTCAATCTATACCCCAAAAGAGTGCTAAATATTAAAAATTGTATGACTTTTGAAAGACAAATAACCAATGAAAAAGTTAGGGAATGGGAGCTCTGTTTGTAATATATTTAAGTGAAAACATCAAAACATGTGAACATAGTTTCAAAATTTAATTTAACTTTAATATTATGTCTACAATGGATTAGTGTAGTTATGAGCCTAAAAGCCAATTGACAAATGCATTCATTCACTGCAAACAGAGACCCCTTAGTTCTACAGTATTGTACAGCTATTCAGTATAATATTATATAACATAACAGTGCTTAGAGTAGTGCCGCTGAGCTCATTGCGATTCACACTTTCCCTCTTTGCCTGTCTTTACTTTATATTATATGTTAGAACTATAGGTATGGATAATGAGCCCAACAAATGCATATTTGGCACGAATTTAATGCATTTTCACTAAATGACACAATAATAACATTTTTACATTCATTTCATTCAATTTACTTTAATCATCAAAAATGTAATCAATATTCAAATCTATGAATATTATATGAAATCGTTTAAAAATAACTATTTTCCACAATCTATTTAATATTAAATATAAAAACAAATAAAGATTCATAAAATTATTATAATTTGCTATATTTATAAAAATAAACCATTTCAAAACTTTTCAATTTTGTTATTAGATTCATAAAATTGATAATAAAATTAAATTAAACTTTGAATAAAACTTTAGTTTTTTTAAATGCATTTTTGGAAATCTTAAAAAACATTAGAAACATTATAATGAATAACTTATTGATTAAAATAAGTTATAAACAAACGTTTTTCTATATGTATTCTATACGTTGTTATATGTTTGAAAATAGTTGAAATCTATTTAAAGTTTCAATTTATTTGAATCATTAAAACTTGTAGTAATAGTAGTATTGAGAGTTAGTTTTAGTGACGGGAAGTAAATTAATATTAACTCCAATTTCTGTTGATTTATTATATTTAGTGTAAATCGTTTGATAACAAGTTAGGGGATTGTAAAGCAATTTACTGCTAAAACTTAATTTTAATTTATATATATTTTTTGTAAAACTAAATAATAGTAATTAACCAGTTTAAACATGCAAATTAAAAATGCGTGTACTTATATAAAACATTGATTTTTATTTAAAGATTTTAAATAACTTAATAATAATTTTATAATATATAATTCATGATCATAAAACATTTGTTCAATTATTTAAAAGATATTTATGATTAAAATTTATTATTGGAAGTAAATGATATATTCATATTAATCAATAGATAATTTTGAGATTCATTTCACACTTTTGAATATTTAATAATATGATATAAATTGCATATATTTTCCATATAACGATCAAAATTAATCTATTATTTATAAATAAGAAATCATTTATATGTATATTTTATTATATTTATAAATAAACTTAATTATAAACTAAATATATTTATATATACAAATATTTATATATACAAAGCAAATAAAAACAAGAAAATAAATTGAGTCCTCAATAATGTGTTTTATATTTACTATATATTATATACACAATAATAACTAATCAAAGATAATCAGAGAGAAAGCGAGCAAATGTTATGAACTCATATATTGTATTATATTATTATATATTATTTTACAATCAGTTATAATAAATCCAAATACAGGCAAATGTCAATTCAATTTAATGCCTCACTAGACATATGAGAGTATTATTTGCCGCTTCTTTATAATACCTTTCCAATGGAATGATACCAATATATAGATATCTATTTATATCGTATATTATATAATATAAACAAAAGTAAGTATAAGTAATATCAATGAATCCGATGATAGAGAGGATAGAGTTTGTGAGATATAATGATTTCGATGTTGAGATTAACTGTTGGTTAGACATCACATCACATGCTAGTTGTGACCACTTTTCATGTATGTCTCACTAAATTAGTTGCTGTTGTATACGGCAGTGATTGCATTGTATTGAATGCAGCCATCAATAGGCTAAACATTGTGATAGCAATAATGGTTGGTCTGAGTTGAGTGTTTGGTTGGCTTCTGGTTCTGCCAGCACTGGCATCACTAGAGGTCTGGTCGATGAATGGCTGGTCGTTCTGTATTCTACTCGATAATCGCTTCTCTCCTATGATATACCAAATATATAACAATAATTTATAATATGTATTATATAACGATATAAAACAATAAACTTGATTAATATGATTGCACACAACCATTTCGGTTCAGTTATTTGAAAAACATTTGTAAAACTAAATTATCTGCACTTAAATTGCTTTCTGTTGTCTATTATGTTTGTTATGTTTGTTTAAAAAACAGTTTACTGTTAAATGTTTTTTTTAAAATCTTTAAACGTTTATATTTCTCATCCCATCTGCTTTACCGTTTACTGGAATTAAAGAAAAGCAAATAAAAAATAAATCAATTGATTTTTATTTTGCTAAAACTAATTCCCGTTTATTTAGACTCCAATTTGCTAATCATATCATTTATATTAATAGTAATATATATTATTTAATAAAATTTAATAAACCACAAAAATACTAAAATTAAGTCTCATATTAATATGAAAAGTTTTTGTGTGATTATACAAATAACCCATCATTTTGATTATGGTTTAGTTGTTTATTATGTTTTGTTTTATTATTATTGAAAGACAAACATTTTCATTATTATAATGTCAAATAATCTGTAAATATATCGTTTGTGTGCTATTATATAACCCAATGTTAGATAATAGCAAAAGAAAGTATAATAGAGTTTATGTAAAGGGATTAATCCTATTATGACTTTGATATGTAATACGATTATAGTTTTGCAAAGCATTCACTTTATGAAAAGTTAATACAATATTAAGATACAACTCATAGATGATATTGTCTGAGATAAAAACATAACCATTAGAGACAATGTTGTATTTATTTGGCATAAATGGAAAGGGGGTTGAATTAGGGTTGAGTTAGGGTTGAGTTAGGGTTGAGTTAGGGTTGTTAGATGTCCTTAAAACAGATGATTTTCTCAAACTTAGGCTCAAATTCAATACAACATTTTAGTACATCCATCGGAAAATAATATAATGCTATGACATTTTGAAAAATTATAAAAATATTCTAGTACTATTTATTTTATTTTTATTTTAGAACTTAGCAAAAAAAATTAATATAAAATTATTTTTTTAAAATATTTTGAAATATTTGACATAATTAAAAAATTAATTAAATAAATATAAATATTTATACTCTTGTTCCTCCCATTTCTATATTAATACAATGTCCTCCTAATTGAAAATATCATTTAGCAATCCTTAAGTTGGATATATGTGTAAAAATATACATTAGTAGTGATACATACCCTGTAAAACGTGAACATATAGTGAAGTTGGCTGAGCATTACTGGCAGCACACGTATAATTGCCGCTATCGTGCAATTTGGCCGATCGTATGACAAGACGTGAGACAACTGAATCACTTTTGGACGAGTCTTTTTGGATGGTTATGTCACCCCTTCCTACTGAATCATAATTTATCATACGTTGGTTGTGATACCAGAAAACATAAGCTGGCGTTTCAGGTGAACGTGATATAACACACGTCAAGTTTATTGTGGCACCGGTACGTACAAACACATCGGGCTGACCAATCATCTCAGCCACCGGTACTATAATAAAGTATATCACATAAGATATTGTTTTATACTATATATACAGTATATTCAGTAAATAAATTATATATAACTAGTTATATATTATACAGTATATACTAAACATTAATGCACCAATTAGTTATATAATAATAAATTGCTAAATAAACATATTCTTTACTAAACATTAATCTAAGTTATATTCCTTATATTTAATACAATTCATATAAACTAAAAAATATAAAACTAATTACAATTTACTAACTAAATGATTATTTACAATATAAATACTATATATATAAATACAGAATGTTTCACTTTTTAAGTTATCTCAAATATACTGTCATCAGTAATAGTTTAGCCATTCATCTTAGACATATCAATTGAAATATGTTTGACATAAATGTTTATATGAAACAGCATATAAACATGGTTAAGCAAGGTTTTGGATTTTAGAGGGGGGTAGACCGGGGTAAAATTTACAAAATTCTCGAAAAATCTTGGGGGAGGGGGTATTGGGTGGGGTAAGATTTTTATTGCATTTTTAAACGGCATTTTTTTCAAAAATCCAAAATCAAGGGGGGGGTCAAGAGAAAATTCCCTAAAAATTCCTTAAGTTCCCGAATATTCCCATGTAAATTCAATAAAATTTCCAAAAATATAAAAAAAACTTAAAAATTAACAAAAACTTAAATTTCAACAAAAAATTAATTTTTTTTTTAAAAATTTTAAAAATTAATAAAAACTTAAATTTTAACAAAAAATAAAATAATGTATTTAAGATTTAAAAATAGTTGATAAAAGCATTAATGATACACTATGAGTTATTTTTAGTATTTTAATAATTTTTAACTTTTAACATAATTAATTTTTTAAATAATACTTAATGTTCATAGTTTATAGATATATAATTTTATTTTTTAATGTTATTTTTATATAAATAGTGACTGAATACTAATTATTAAATTCAAAATTTTAAAGATTTTTTAGTTTAATATTTTAATTAAAATTATGTTATTTTTTCATGAGTTTTAACGTTATTTTAACTATTTTATTTATTTTTAATCAATAATTAGATTCATATAAATTTTAAAAACATATAAACACCTAAAAAAACTAAAATTAAAATTTTTAAACTTCAAAAAAATTTCGGCGCCGAAATTTTAGGGGGGGTCATTTCTCCTCGTTTTTAAGCGACAATTTTTCCCATTTGGTCAAAAAGTCTGGGGGGTAAAATCCCAAAATCTCGATCCTAGGGGGGTATTTTGGCCTTACCCCCTACCCCCTTACTTAACCCTGCATATAAACTACATATCTAAATCAAGTGTAAGCCTTGGGTCACAATTATTGTTAGCTTTTGTATACTATATTTCTAACTATTGTACTGTAATTCCGTGCCATAAATCCAAATGTTTTGTGCAAAATTTGACTAATTTCCCTCAAAAAATATATTATACAGAATATGAGAATATGTTACATATTAAAGAATATTTATATACAGTATTATATATATATATATTCAACAACAAAAATATTTTGTAATAGAAAGACATGTAAATTTTAATGTTTTATAAATAACTAATAATAAGTAATTATAAATATTAAACATACCGACAACTTGTAAATTATAATACCTGAAATAGAGTGTAATAATTAGTCTTTTCATTTGAAAAATCATTATAAATAACAATTTAAAGCAAAACAATAAAAAAATATAAGTTTAATTATGGTAATAATGATGTATAGATATTTTTTAAAAACTTGATATCTGGTATGGTATGGTATGGTATGGTATGGTATGGTATGGTATGGTATGGTATGGTATATGTAATATTTTGTACGCTCTCTTAAATGCTTATCAAATCAAATGCCACTAACATTCATAAATAGGGCAAAAAATAATACTAAAAAAAATAAAAGTTGAATCATATATAATATAAGAGACAATTGAAATAAAATACAATAAACTCTACTCTCTTGTGTTGTGAACAATAATAAAGTGTATTTGCAAAATATAATACATTATTATCATATATAGCATATCATATATTATTAAATAATACGATATACTTACTGACTTCGTGGGGGATCTGAGTTGATTTGACATTCATATAGACCTATAAATTAAATATATAAATATATAAACATATAAAATATAAAATATTGTAAAATATACATTACATTTTTCTTTTAATATTTGTTTTGTTAATAAAATCAATAGTAAATTAAAATAAAACAACATATATTATTGTCTGCTCATAATTATAATAATAAGTCAGTATTAAATTATTATTATTGGCTGTTATAAGAAATAAAGTTATATTGAGAGTTATAAATATGAAGTGAAGTGACATATAATAAAACAAAAATGCAATGATTTATTGATGAAGTGTTGAGAAAATTGGGATATATTGTATATACTGTAGTGTAGTGTACTGTAATATATATCAATATTATATAAGTGTATACCTTCATCGGTGGGAACGACATGTTTGATTTGTAGGGCCCAGTCATTAGATTGTAGAGTTCCGTGTCGTATAACAAAGCGGTCGTCAGATATATAAGTGAGAAGACCTACTGTTAGCAAATGGAAATCACGTAAACGAATCCATGAGACCTAAAATTAATTGTTGAATACAGTATTTATCATTTTGTTGATACTATACAATCATTAATGAGATGAACAAATGCAAGTGATGCCAATTCATGACAATCAATGCCTAAACAAATGCATTGCTATCGTAATGCACTAGCAATTGATTGCCATTAAATGGCTCAATGAGTGTGATATATCTATAGACTAAGTCTAACCATTTTATCGCCTATGGGTTCGACAATACAGTGCAGATACACGGGATGACCGGCCTGTGCGGTCACGTTCTTGGGAACAGCTCTTTCTTCATGCATTCTTAATTGATTTAAGCTATTTAATGGTATGGAATGAGATGATGACAATGACAGTGATGATGATTGTAGTGATAATGACGATGAAGATGATGGCACCGGTAATAATGATTTTCGAGCCGAGTTGTCATTGTCGACGACAAACGGATCGTTTAGTTTTGAAACTCCATTTGGTTGTTGGCCTGCATTTGAATAATGCATTAGAAATATGCAAATAATTTTCCGTTTGACACAAACATGATATTTGTTTGCTTGAAATCAATTTATATGTCATTCTTATCTGTCATAAAATGTTCACTACTTCTATGCCTCAAAAAAAACTACACCAAAACGTCTGATACATTCAACCATAGCTCACACTGTTTTGTTATTATGTTATGTTTGCAAACGTTATATAACTTATATTGATTCAGTGAAATAGAGAGTAAGAGAGAGAGAGAGAGAGAGAGAGAGAGAGAGAGAGAGAGAGAGAGAGAGAGAGAGAGAGCTAATGTAATGTTCCAGTTCTCGCATTTATGCGCCCATTCATACCGTCATTGCTATCGCAATATAAGCTAATATCATACATAAGCCATCCTTTTATATTTAAGGCATCAAAACGACACATCGATCCAAACGACTTATAACAGGACATTGAATGTAATAATATGTGAAACAAAAGCTGATGTATGAAATGATATTTATGCTAATCCGCAATACAATTAAGTGAATGCTATTTGCTGTAACTCTATTGATGACAAACTTTCTTAACTCACGACACCTTTTATAATATCATAGCTTATAATATCAATATAAAGCATATCTTAGGATTTAATATATAATTTAACACTTAATTTCTAACATTTCTTTTAATCGATTAGTGTTTCTCTTGTTTTTTATATTAAATTGAATTTAATTTTCTAAACTTCTTATCTTACTATAGATATATTTAAGTATTTTCGACAAATATAAATGTTTAGAAAATCAATAATTAAAAGAAACTCCTAATTGTTTTGAATTAATTCATAATATAAATGTTTTTATAAGTATAGCCTCTGTCTCTCAAAACCAGTGTTTTATAATAAGAATGAAAAAACTTCTACTTTTTATTTATAAATTATATATCAATGGACTACTCGTATGCATAGCAAAGAGTATTGAAATCGCATGAATTCAATACAATGTCTGTTATTATAACATAAAATCAATAATCGTTTCTCCCGTTTCTTTCCTAACGTTTCTCATTACTCTATAATCGGGTATTGCCTACAAAAATATCAGCCCATTCTTAAAGTCAGAGATTGTATTCACACATAAAGTGTATATTTTTTGCTATTCATTTCCTAAAGATTTCATAAATCTTTTTGAAATTTGTTTAAAGTTTTATTTAAAAATTTTATTTTTATTGCATTACTAGAGATAAGAAAAAGCTCTGAAAAAATAATTGACAAAAAATATTCCAAATTTTTTCAGACAAAAATTTAAGACCTATTTTTGCAAATAAAAAACAAAATTATTTTGAATTCGAGATTAGTGACAGTCATTCATAAATTTACCAGTTATTGGAAAATCTCAATATTTTGTGATAAGTTTTCTCATTTAATCTATTATTACTTATTTGTGAATTACATAACAAACGCCTCTTAGAAAGGAAAGGGTAGAGAAAGAGACCACTCATTTGCACTGAAAGAATGTATTCATATAAGCAATTGTTTGGTTAGAAAGTGAACTCTCATCTTATAAATTGACTGAAATTGCTGTCAACTCAGTTGGTTTACCCCACACTCTATGACAGACAATAACAGACATTTATAGACAATGTTTGGATGTTTGGACATTCATTTAAAAAGCAATAAGATTCACATATTAATAGACTATTACTATAGATATAATGTAATGTTAGTATTTGTGAGTGTTTGAGTGAGTGAGTGAGTGTGTGTGTGTGTGAGTGAGTGAGTGAGTGAGTGAGTGAGTGAGTGAGTGAGTGAGTGAGTGAGTGGGTGAGTGTGTGAGTATGTGCTTTCAAAACAGTAATAAGAAATAAACTTAATATTTAGTTAAGAAATGGTATGACAAGAATGTGATTCCAGTTTTGCAATTAAACCTAAATTGTTATCTCATTCTTGTCTCTAATCAATAATCAGCTCTTAATTCCGATTCTTAGCATTCAATCACTTAATATAATTTCTTTGATTAAAGTTTTAATTTTTGTTTCTTCTCTTTGTTTATGTTTTTATTTCATTAAATTAATTGCTGATAAAAGCAATACTATTCTAATCAAATAAAGTAAAAACATTTCAATTTATTTGAAAACAATAATTGGTAAAAAATGTTGTTATATAAATTTTAAAAAGTGTTATATTGAATTTATATATCAAAAAAAAAAGTTTTATATTAATATATTATAACATAAAAATATTTAATGCTTAATATACATGTAAGTTATACTGTATAATGTAAGATATTATTATTAATACATTAAGTAATGTTAAAATTTATAAGTCAAAATGTTTAATAAAATTATTTTCTCATAGATATGCGTCAGTATTTCATTTATCACATTTGTTAAAAACTTTTTAAAATAATTACATTTTTAAACAAGGTAAAATTATATATTAATAATGAATTTGATGATTTATAAAAAATAAATGGTGTATATGTATTTGGTATGATTATAATACTCATTAACCAAACTAATACAATATAATCTATTATTACTTACAATTTTATGACCTATTAATAGTAACACTTACTAATTTATAACTTTATATAAAATTGATTAATACATTTTCTAATTATTTAAATAATTATAACAAATTTGGCTTTTTGTGTTCACTTTGAAACATAAGCGACACTTTAATATTATAGTGAATGTGTTATATTTAAATGTGTTATAGTATGACAGTAATGGTATTCAAACCAATTTGAATGATGTAAACAAAACTAAAAATTAATTTTCAACATTTACTGGTCTTTTATCTCATGAATATTCAACTGAAGCCTTCAAACCCGGGATCTAATTATCAAAATTATGATTTATAGTGTTTTAATGTTTACAGTGTTTATAAACTCAATTAAAGTCAACATTTATTGTAAACCAATTAATAAATTTCTAATTAATTTAGGAGTATTTATATAAAATAGTCTTATTTTTTATATTTATCATAAATTTAAAATCTCGATCATGAAATTTTGGTTTTCTATATTTTTAACATTAGTAAAAAAGGTTAAATATTTTTTTTAATTTTCCAAACAACAACAAACAATACAATACTTGTCTAATTAGACTAATAACAACAATAGCTACTAAAATATCATACAATGAAAGTCGTTAAAGTAATTTCAAATGATTTCTGTGTTTCGGCACTTTTGCTCAACTAATGGCTTTTTCCTTTGCAAATGACTGTCCAAACATTTATTATTGATTTTTTAATTTTATTTTTTTAATAATTCACTTAATTTAAGTTACAATATAATTTAAATTAATATCTACATATAAAGTTTACAATATATATTTTCTATATACATATTTCATTATAATAGTAGAATAAGTAAAAATACATTATTAAACTTTAATTTACAAATTAATCAAATTAAGAGAAAATTATTAATTTATTCTTATTTGTAGCTATAATTAAAAATAAAGCATTAATAAAGTAAAAACATACCTTAAAAAATAAAAATTAACATTAAATTAATATCATTCATGGAAACATAAAGATATTATTTATCTTTAATATATTTAAATAAATTATAATATAAAGAATAATGTACTATATATGTACAGTATATATACTATATATTTACCAGTATACTTAAAACTAATTTTAAATTTCAGTGCAAATTTTCACATAAACGATAATATATATATATATATTCTTTTAGATTCTCATATATACTATATTATAGTAACTATAATATTTTAAATTTAAATAAACTTAATATTATGAAAATCTAGAAAAAATATATTGAAAATGACAAAAAATTACCAAACAATTTACAAAATTTGTATTTTACTCAACACGATTAATATAACAATATTTATTTGAATATTACAATCTGACTTTATTTAAATTTATGTCTTATAACTAAGTATTATATTACATGTTTGCCAAAATAGTTTTAAGAAAATTTGAAATATTCAGAAAATAGTAATTCTGCAATAAATATGAAACTAATATAGTTATGCACACAATGTTTGCTATTAAATGCAATGTTTATGGCTTTTGAAATATAAACACACAAAAGGAATACAAATATAAAAAATATGTATTTATATGAAGTTATATTAGATAAGTATAGAATATATCATCAAATAAAGCGATGTCTTATCATTTAAATGGATATATCTATATCTTTATATAAAATTGTATTTTTCAACTATTTAAAGTTATTTTGAAGATAATTAACATTTTATCAATGCTTACAATGCAATCATATGCCACTATTTACTTAAATTCTATACTCTATCGTCAAATCGATCAAATGATGTGTATTTATTGAATAAATTGAATATAAGATGACATAAATATTTAGAGAAGTGTTGGTTAATGGAGAGCACATCAGCCTTTAGAGAGATTCATAAATTTTAATAAATTCATTTGATTATATAAAATGCATTAAAATAAAGTTATTCTCTATACTATATAAAAAACTAGTGAGAAAAGCATTCATTATTGATACGACAGTGTATTTTTACTTTATGTATACAATGTATAGTTTATAGTTCAGTACAAGTACTCTATAACTGTAGTCACTATTTTGAGAAAATTTCAACAAAAACACATCAAACACATACAAAACATTGAGAAATAAATGACAAATTATTTAAGACATAGAATATTCTGAGCACGTGTTTATCAGATTATACTTTTGTTGCAAAAATACTAATATATAAATGATATCCATTTTGAGGTAATAGGATGTGTATCAGCTATACTGTAATTTATGTGTACAATATTTCCTATATTTTCAGTAATCTATCAAATTCAACAATGAATATTAAGGTCATATTTTTTTATTTAAATATAGAGTCTATTTGTTTGTAATTTATCTGAAACTTTTAATATTATTAAAAATAATTTTATTTCAATTCAAGCATTTTATATTATTGTCATTTTCGATAGTAAATAAGTTATTCAATATTTTATGTAAATTATTTATATAAGAAAGTTCATTATCTCTAAACTATTATTATATATTTATCAATTTTTACTAATATTATTTTTATTATATTATACCGGTATATTTTAAAATTTTTTACTGATTATGTGCTGATCGTAAATAACTTTTTTATGTCAAAAAACAAATATTATTTTATATGAATATTTAAAATATTAAT